AGACTGTTGTATTTTCAGAAAAATGGTTGCGTGCATCGTCGTCAAATGGAACGTGATTCGAGCCACTCAAATTATTGGTGTAGGTCAGTGTGTTCAATTTTTATTAATTTACGATTTAACTTTACCCTCTTGCTTAATAGGTCACTTTAAGAATTAAACAGTGTCAATGCAATTCATCAATATTAGTACTCATCGCCTTGCATGAATTCTATAAAAGCAGTCTTCTTCATTGAGTAGACCTACATGTCAAATTCTTGTGAGGATGTTGGGATTTTTGGTTCGTCCGAAGCATTTCCTATTATGTATTAAGTGACGGTAATCAATTTAGCTTTCATTGAATGATACCAATGATGGCATTTATCCTTTTTCATTCTAGGTACACAATTTGAAGCAGTCAATCATTGCATTTGTAGGCATGCATTATAGGGCTGTTCAGGATCTTGTGCATATGCTCTTTCATTTGCATATTTGTTTCATTTGTAAATTCACCACAATAAAATGCACACAGTTGCCACGGCAGCAAGCATAAAATTTGCAAATGCAATTCCTACTGAAAATCTAAGACAATTTCGCTAACATCCTGAAGAGCCCTTATATGTTTTATGCACATGGATATACGAAGACGTAAGCACTCCTGTTGCAGGCAGTGATATTATATTTAATATCAGTGTAAGTGGTTTTGTCTTCTTCCAATGGCGGTGGTGCTGGTGCATGAGGTTAATATGATTGCAAATAGAAAAACGCTGTTCAGTGCAGGAAATATTTGATTTGTTTTTTCTAGGTGGCGATTGCACAATTTTACAACCAACAGTATAGAGACAACAAAATCGAACCATATAGTGTATGTGATGGCAGTATGCAGAGAATAAAATTGCTTCGAGTGCTTGCATTGCATTGTTACATAAGTGTATGGAAATAAATCATACGTTAACAGTGTGAAGCAGTTATTTCTATTGGGCATGCACGTTTTAATACTTAAACTCAGCTAATGTAAAAGTTTCTCTTACCTTACTGGGACTTATGCAAAAAAAGTAAGCTCAGACTCAACTTTTGCATTGACGGAGTGAGTTTAAGCTTAAGAAATTATACTGAAAATCGAGTCGGACCCCAAGCTCGCTTTTTATGCATGAGGGCCACTGACTTATGGGGAGAAACTAAATACTACAGTGAATAAATTCTTTGCAAATATTTACTAATTTTTTGCCTTTTATTTCATAGACTCGGATATAGTGTTTTTCATTGCTGATTAATTGGTGCGTCCATAGACATCCTAAACGTTCTTATCTAATGAAAATCTAATAATTTCCAGACAAATTNTTGCTGATTAATTGGTGCGTCCATAGACATCCTAAACGTTCTTATCTAATAAAAATCTAATAATTTCCAGACAAATTGATCATTTTACTACCCATATAATTCTAGTCAATGACGAACTAGTATCACTTCCTCTTTTAAATACCAGTATATGAACTAGAATGTTTCCATACTAGTTTGGCACTTCCCTACAGGGAATGCGTAACCAGCACCACTTAAATCCACATTTCAAACTTCGTACAAAAATTATAAAAACTCAACAAACTTTAAGAATTACACTCACAAAATTTAAACTTTTTATTAAAAAGTTTTAGGTATGCAATTGTGGAGGATACTTTCTATGGAAGAAAATGCACAACACCGTCAGCCAAAAAAATTATTAAAACTCCTCNGCAGGGAATGCGTAACCAGCACCACTTAAATCCACATTTCAAACTTCGTACAAAAATTATAAAAACTCAACAAACTTTAAGAATTACACTCACAAAATTTAAACTTTTTATTAAAAAGTTTTAGGTATGCAATTGTGGAGGATACTTTCTATGGAAGAAAATGCACAACACCGTCAGCCAAAAAATTATTAAAACTACTAATAAAATTTATTGGGCTATAAAAATGCCAACCTTAAATTTGTCTAAAAACTTTATTAAAAGGTTTCAAATGTGTAATTGTTAAAGGTTGTTGAATTTTTATAATTTTTGTACGAAGTTTTAAATGTGGATTTATGTGGTGCTGGTTATGTATTGTGCGAGACTTAAAAATTATATGTATAAAAGTAAAAAAAAAGAAAAATTGCCAAAACTAATCAAAATGTCACTTAACTTAATCAGCTAACCACAAGGGTGCATACATACTAGGGTGAGCGCTATTTCCCAAGTGGAACGGTGGCAAAACAACAAAAACTATAATGTCCACCATGAACGCCACTTTAATCTTGAATAACTTTCGGAGGAATGAATTTAAAGAAAAATGATATGTCATATTTTTTTCAGAGAAAATGAATTAAAGGCAAAATTTCCGAAAAATCCCATGTTATTTAAGTGGGAAATGTAACATGATTTCGGCATTATTTAATTTCAAAGAGAGAGAGCATAAAATGTACCAACTGGCGAAATAACGGGCACCCTAATGTGGAGTGTCTGAATTTCGTGCTTGTGAGTTTTCCAATAAATTTGAGAGACTGAATATTTAATAGGAAAAAACTCATATAACCATAATAGTTCCCGTTCTCAGTAGGTTTTGTTTCGAATGCAGCTTTTCCCGTCGAAGCGTCTGTTTAAAAATTAAAAATTATTTTACTGAGAACGCTATGTGCAGTTAATGTTATTTCACTTTAAAATCTAACGGAACTTGTGATTAAGATACTTAAACTGTATCAGTGTGCAGATACAATAATTTACGGCTTACACTGAGAAAAAGGATTAGTTTCGACAACTAAAGATATTTAGTTCCCGAGTTTTGACAATATTTGGGAACTGTTACCAAGGATTAGGAACTATTACCATAGGTTGGTAATTATAACTAAATATGTTAAAGCTTGTAATATTCATTATGTTGTACCAAATCGTTGATTTAGTTGAAGGGTTTGGTAAATACTAATAAATATTTCTTTGAATTCCGTTCAACTTAACGTATGGTTTATAAAAGGATGTAAAAGCGTAACCAGACGGCAGCGTTGATCCGGATCAACTCGGGAATTAACTGCAGTTGATCCGGATTAAGTCCGAGTTAGTCCGGATCAACGCTGCCGTCTGTTTGAGCTTTTATTGAGCTCTGCTAATGCAGATAAGCTTTCTTTCAACACATGGTTAAGTCATAGTTACCAAATCTTAGTTGAGACAACCACGATTTGGTTTGTTTCAGTTTTTCTATCGCCGCGAGGTGTTTCGGTGCGCGCATAGTTATTTTAAAATATAAAGTTTGATACCAACCGGGGTTTCTCAGTGGATATATAATTCATGTGAATTATAGTTTGAAAGTGACTACTTTGCCAAGGAAAAAGCAAAGCAATATACTTAAACCAGCACTTCCAGCAGAT